GGGGAAAGAGATCACGGCACGGGTGGATTTTGTGTAATCCTTGGAGTTGGGCTTTGAACTATATAGGCTGCCATTGCTCTCCACCTGATGAGAATGAAGGTTGCATCGCTTGCCTCTGGCTCACTGTCAGAGTCACTGATCTGGAACAAGCATGCAGCCAGTGAAGTCGGGGCAAAACGTTTCATCAGTCTTCTGGATTGATGACTCCCATCCAGACGACTAGAATTTCCTGACATCGGCTATGACAGCCAATGGTCTGTAAGTCGGAGGGAGGCAACCTCAGCACTCCAGCTTGTGTAGAGCTACATGTCCCATGAGGCATTGCAAGACTCTGACAGGCATGACGCCTTGGAACAAAGGCATGATGGGATTTGTGGTTTCAGCACAGCGGGAGTGCCGAGGTTACCTACCTCTGGTCTAAGTACAGATCTACTTCTCCATTTTGAGTTGGAATTTGGTTGTCACGGGCAACAGCAGACAGCTCTCACTGGAGGCCAACATTGCCTTATCGCTATTCTGTACACCCGTGCTATGAGTCTTTCTGGCCATTGTGGATCTGTGCAAAGCTTACAGATTACACAGCCTGGGGGCTTTTTAGCTTCATTGGAACTATAAGTTTCAGCATGCCTCTGGTTTTCTGCACGTACAGCAGGGGGTCAGCCTGTGACTTGATTTTTAGCCATGGAACTACAATTACCAGCATCTTGTACTTCCTTTTGCCTTATCAAGAATTCTGTAATGGTGAATAATGTGGGTTGTATTTTTGGCTTTGTGAATAGCGTGATGTATATATTAGTAAATGCCTATACAGCAAGGATGGATCCCAGGAGCCAGGGCGCCAATGCGCCTCACAATGACAGCCGGTGCCGAACTTTAAGTTTTTGTCTTGCATGGAGCTGGCTCCTGAAAAGACAAAATGCTGCTGGTTCCTGGATCAGACAAACCGGTTCCAGAAGTCCATATGAAGTGCCCACCACTACGATGACCGTGCTTCATTTTCTCAATATAGGGTTCCCTTCCTAGCGATATGCATACAAATCCTGAATGAATAAAAGGGTGACTCCTAGCCAAATGTTTTTTTTTTTCTTATGGTCCCCTATTAAAAATATAAAAAGACGCTGTAGCTGCAGTGCTCACCTCCTGTCCAGCACTGTACCCCTATGTAATCTCTTTCAACCCCTAGATCACCCCAAAGTGTCCAGGGGTGTCACAGCCGAGCCCTACACTCATAGGGGTTTATTTTTTTAAAATGTTCCCCTAGATGGCGCTGACGAGTATAGGAAATTCCTGTAGTACAGCGCCATCTAGTGGCTGGGAAGTTTTGTACATGAACCCCATAGTTTGATGATGCAGAGAGTGATATTGATGCCTTGATGTTGGTGCTGCGTTCTCATCATTGAAGACTGGAGACGATCCAAAAAAGGACCTGGGATGTCACATGACCAGCCTGAGGACTTCTGGAAAACGTAAGTATATAGAAAAAAGCATAAACTGCACTCTATATACGGGGAGGGAGGAGAGGTGTGGGTGAGCCCGGAGCCCCGAGTGATTCAGATCTCGGCAAATGTTTCTGTACTTTCTAATGGGAGGGCTACTTGGATTCCTAATTATAATTGATTGATCATTTTTTTTCAGTCTCTGAAGCTGCTCTCCTAAACCAGGCACCTTGTGTCTGTTCAAGGAAGTAAGCGGAGGCCATGCTGTCTTTTGTTTCCTCACTATTGATGGCTAGACAGGCCAAGGGGAAGGAGCGGCCACAGTCATCTTAGACAGTTTGCATAGGTACAGCTAAGGGCTGGACAAATCCCAGGAGCCAGGTCGCCAATGCTCCTTAAGAATTACAGCCGGCGCCTAACGTTTGAGTTTTTCTCAGTTTGCTGTCAGTGGACCTGGCTCCTACAGAAAATCCTACTGGCTCCTGAATTCCATATCCATTTGTTGGCCCCTGGCAGAGCTGCTGGAGGCAGAGGGGCCCTCTAACAGAAATGCATGGTTTCAATTTGTTCTGCACGTTCTTCAGGGTTATGTTACCAGCACAGGTGTAAAGAGTACTTTTTGGAGTTCTTTAACCACTTAAAGGCCATAGTGTTTCACCCCCTTCCTGGCCAGATGATGTTTATTCTGCTTATATTTTGCCTTTCCATTGACATTTTAAAATAAATTCTGTTTTTATTACATAGTTTTATTTTAGACCCAGCGACGTCATCATGAGGTCTCTGTGCTCCTCTATGCAATGCAGACAGATCATAGCTGGTAGGAGGGGCCGGCAGGGTGCTGTACACAGCTTTCTGAAAACACCACAGCACCCTGCCTCCTACTCCTCCTCAAGAGCCCTCAGCCCTGATGCAAGCAGTTGCTTGGCTCTTAAGGTGCCCATACACCATACAATGTATCTGCAGATTTTCTGTGGTCAGATGGAAAAAGTGCAACAGATTGGCCCAGGTGGAGATGACTCCATCCACACAGTTAAGTGTAGATGGAGGAATCTGTTGCACCTTTTCCATCTGACCACAGTTAATCTGCAGATAATTGTAAGGTGTATGGCCAGCTTTAGGAGTTATGCTTTGATTGGTGAAGTTCCTAGTCAGGCTTTGCAGGTAGCACCCACATGTGATGCTGAGCCTCCGTGATTGAAAGAACTGAAATCCAATGAAAGGGGCGGGCCAGGGACAGTCAGGCTGAGGAGGAAAAGCTAGATGATGCTGGATGTCCTCCAGCCAGGAAATGAGGTGGGCTCTATCTGACTTGCTGTCGCTTCTGATGCACACTGGGTGAGGCTCACAGTGTGCAGTGAAATCAGGGTGAGAACTTTTAGTCCAGGAGGGGAGCCGGTACAACTGTGCAAGACTGCAGGGAAGGTCAGAGTTCAACTTCCCTTCCAGACTCTTATTTTTTGGTATATAGTGTGTTTGTGTGTGTGTGTGTGTGTGTGTGTGTGTGTTTCCCCGAAAATAAGACACTGTCTTATATTTTATTGGGCTCAAAAAAAAAGTCTTATTTTCAGGGTAGGTCTTATTTATTTATTTTTTTAATGTACAACAATTCACACGTATTCATGTAAAAAAAAATATGATGATCAGGGCAATCAGGGGTGCCGTGCCTCTCCAAGAGCAATTTGCTTACCAATCGCTGGCCAGAATGAGCGAAGCGCACTTTCACTATCATTCCTCACAGGCGGAGAGCATTTGGTAGCACTCCGCCTGTGACAGGAGCCGGCGCTATAGAGGATGTATCGGCTTAAGCGGCTCTGCTCCCTCCGCTGCCGCCTCGCTTCCTCTAGCGCTGGCTTCGTTGGCACTGCTGACTCTCTACAGCCTCTCCCGCGGCTCTTCACGTTCCCCCTTATGCCACCACCGGCCCTGGGAATGGTCACAACTAGGTCTTATTTTCGGGGTAGGTCTTA